GTGGAAGCAGTTCATTCAAAATGCAGATCAGAAAAACCCTGAAAACTTGCCTATGAGCAAAGGACAGACACTGAAGATTAGTAAGTCAATATTATTTTCAATTTTCAAAATATAAAATATGGTTCAAAATATAAAATATTGCCCACAGCTTACCATGTCCATTTCTTGAAACTTGTAGTCTTTTTTTCCTTTCTAAGCTACTAGGAGTTTCCATCATAATTTGGGCTATAAATAAATTCCTACAAAAACCATGTTGTTCTACTCTGGAATTCTTTACATTAATTTTTGCTGTTAATTTTTTATATTTTGGTAGTAAATCTGCATAACATTTTGTACATAATATTTCAATAGCAAATCTGTATATTAAGTGCTTTCATAGGTATCTGCCCACCACTCAGGTCCAGCCCAATTTCTCCATGGAAGAACTTCAGAAACACTGCTCAGTGCTTGGCTTAAAATCTCTTTAGAATCATAGATCATTTTAAAATTAGTCATACTTTTACTTCCATTTTTTTTTCTTTTTATTTTTTAGCTGCCACTCTATGGTCTTCAATTCTGAGATTCTTCCCACAAGTCTGACCAAGGCCAGTACCTTTCTTTTGAGCTGTGAAATGTAGAAACAATATACCAATACAGAAAGAGCTGAACTTAATGCAAAGATTACCTCATGATTCTTGGACTACATTAATGAACTCCAGATTTTAAATTATGGTACCTCATTATTGCCCACTACTCACCATGTCCATTTCTAGAAACTTGTAATCTTTTTGCCTTTCTAAGCAACTAGGAATTTCCATCATAATTTGGGCTATAAATAAATTCCTACAAAAACCATGTTGTTCTACTCTGACATTCTTTATATTAATTAAGGCTATTCTTCATTCTCATTCCACCTTTCAAGATACACTTTCATATAAAGTCAAAAAAAACTTATTTTAGGTAAATGTTAAGTAATGAACATCACTTTACTGAATAATTAATTTCTAACAACTTCACTTGAATAATAATGTAGTTATTTCTAGTTACAGGCAAGAAAAAGTTTTCAGAATTTGATTTAGTAACAAAAGAACAGAAAAATAAAACAGGGTAAAACATAAGTATATACAGATCACAATACAACCAACTCTCTGTGTCCTCCCCTCAGCCTGCTTCTGTAAAGAGCATTAAACTTACTACAGTATTTTAAAGAAACCCAACATTATCCCATCTACCTAGTACAATATAGAAAAACACAAATTCAAATACAAACAAGAATGTTCTCTACGGCCCAAGTTTACCAACTTATATTCATCTACTTTGATGCTGCTATTATAATAGACAGTCATTATTAAAGACAGTGGCAGAATTCATGGATTTTTAAGAATTTTTAATGCTATATAGTATCTCATTTTGACTGATTTTACAATGTGCTCTCAAGTAATAACAGAATTACCATTGTATTTTGTTTATTAACCACATTATGAAACCTCATCAATCATATATGGTACTTTATTTGCAATTTTTTTAATGTATTTTGTGGGTCTCACTACACAGCTCAGACTCATAATGATCCTACTGTTTTCAAGCCTCCCCAGGGCTGGGATTATAGACATGCACCACAAAGCCCAGACTCAGTCACTGGCTCAGCGCACCCAGGGGCAGGAAGAGAACAGCATGTGGTACCAGGGATGCACCATTTGTTAATATATAAAAAGATTCCAAATTAAATTTGCCAGTGTAAAAAGGTTTGGAATCTGGAAAAAAAATCAAAAACATCTATCATTTCTCATTTATCTCAAGAATATAGTTTCTACCAATATAATATAAATTAATATATAAAAGTCATATAAAAAGTAGCGAGTATAAACAGTTCTGTGGTCTTACATGATAAATGGGGTAATGCATAAACATGAACATATTCACCCACACTTCTCCCCACTAAAATCCATTCCTTACCAAACATCTAGAGAAAGCACTTCAAAATATTAGTCACATTGTACCATTTGATGCTCAAAACTTTACAGTGATTTCCCATCCTACTCAAAGATAAAAATTCAGAGTCTTTCTAAATAACTGTTGTGGTTTATATCTAGACATACTCTCAAACCTTTACAACCTCATAGGTGGGGGTAGCGGTTAGAAGGGTGGTGTTTGAATCATAGTCATGTGATACTGATCACTGGTTTAGTCCACTGATGAGTTTATAGCTGAGTGTGATGTTGGGAGGTGAAACCTGGTGGGTAGAGGTGGGTCGCTATGGGTGTGGCTGGAAGAGTACATCACTGTCCTCCTATGATCTCTACTTTCAGCCTGCCCTGCCGTAAGCGACTCTCCTCTAATGCCCCTTTGCCATGCCACCCTGCCTTAGAGTCAACAAACTATGGACTAAAACCTCTACAGAACTGTTAACCAAAATAAACCTCCTTTAAATTGTGGGTGTCAATCTGTCTCAGCAATGAGAAAGTAACTAAGCAGTGAGCTACAGTATCTAATATGCCAGGGCCCACTGCACCATACCTCACCTATCAGCTTTCTCATCCACCATCTCCAATTCCTCACTGTACTCCAGCCCCACTAAGCCCCTTTCTGCTTCTCAAACATCTAATCTTCACTGCCTCAAGATCTTTGCATGTTCTATCCTTACTTTTTGAGCAGCCTTCCTAATATTCACCCTAACCTCCTTCAGTATTGAGCGCAAATGTAACCTCAGCAACCTTCCCTGATAACCTAAAGAAAAGAGCAACTTCTTAGTCTCCCTTCCTTGTTTTGTGATTTTTTGTTTGTTCTCACTTTTTTCTTTTGCATAACATATCTTACCATCTGTTATTCCATTTAATTATTTATTAGTTTATATTCTGTCTCTCCTGATTAGAATGTAGCTTAGAATATAAACCTCACAAAGACAGGAATTTCTATGTTTTCTTCATTTCTATAACCCCAGAGCCTAGAACAATACTTCTAGCACAAAGCTGATATTCAATAAGTGTTAGTAAACATCATTTGTTTGTTTTTCTCTTTTCCTGTATAAGCCCCATGGTGACAGGGACTGTTGTCTTCCACATGTATAGTCCCAAAACCTAAAAAAGTACTGGGATTTCAGCAAATATTTATTAGTGAATCCTCATTATATTCTTTTGGTAGAGAACAGAAAGAATATTTCAATTCAGTTCTACACATCCTCAACACTTTGTTTGGATCTAAAATAATGTAGCCTAATAATGACTAAATTATCCACATTTTTACTTTAAGAAATATATACCTGTACTTTGTATGGAATCCACAGTGCAATTAAAAAACAAAAAAGACAAGAAAAAGTTAGTGAGGAAATGTTAAGTATTTCCTTCGTGATATAAAATGGATTTTGGGGAGGCTGGAGAGATATCTCAGCAGTCTTAGCACCTGCCTAACAAGCACAAGGACCTGAATTCAATCCCTGGTACTGCATGCTGTACCAGCCCCGGAACCCCAGGTGCACTATGCCGGCCCCCAAACCGGGTGTGGTGATGCATGCTTGTAAGTGCTAGGGAGACTGAGACAGGAGGATCACTAGGAGTCCAAGCTGCATAGCAAGACTCTGTAACAAATAAATAAATATTTTAAAACAAAAAAAAGAAATGGACTTTCATAGTATAAAACTGTCAAATTATACAATAAAAATATATTCACTTTCATTATGCCCCAACATTTTCCTTTGCCTATCTATCAATTATTAAAGGCTTTTCAGCAAAAAGCTATAGCCCTTTATTTCTCTTCCCAATACTGAAGCTAATTCAGAACAATGAATTATGTGGCATTTACTTTCCTGACACTGTCTTATGTAATAAAGATTTCTTTTGTTTTCTTTTGCTCAGAACCCCAGCATACAGAAAATGAGGAAGGTATGAAAAGCGTGTCTACTAAAATAAATGTGCAATCCCCAAGATGAGGTCCTCTTTTTTCAGTACTAAGTGAACATTCTTTTGTCTGCAGTAAGGATGCTATTGACTCAGGGTGGTAGGAAGCAAAGCAGAAATCAGCATTGGTGCTTCCCCTGAGATTAGGACAAAGTCTTTTCAGTCAACCAAACTAATCAGAAAACACAAACACCAAACGATCCTTCACCTTCACTCTGATTACCCGAGGCAAAGCCAGAAGGTCAGCAGCTCTATGCATTCATTTTCTGACTCCTCTGAAGCTTAGTATATTGCATCAAAATGGACTACAGTTTACTTTAAATCTAGAGGAACTGATCTACAGCTTTACCTAGTTTCATAGATAAATCCGTTGCATGAGCTTACAATTTTATAAGCAGTTATTTTTAAAATGTAAAGAGAGGTCAGTACAATGCTTGAAAAAGGTGAAATACTTACTGGTTCTAGAGCTGGATTCTTAAGAAAGTAAAGATCATGTATCAATAGAGAGACAGGAAGGCAAACGGAGAAAGAAAGAGGGAGAGAGGGAGAGAGAAAAAACAACTCCAAAGCATTACAAGATAGTTACAAAATAAAAATACAAGCTCATCATAACAAACATACTCAAAAACTTTATGAACATTTCATTCTATGTTTAAATAATTTGCATGTCAGATTTTCTTCCCAAAAAAAATACCGATTGCACACACATAATTGCAGAGAAATTACAACTAATTTCAAATTAAGGGACAGAAGTAAAGCCAAAATTTAAAAGAAAAATCTTTTAATTGCTAAGGTAATACACCTATACAGATAAAAGGTGAGCTGTGAGCACAGTAAATATATTCGCCATAGTGTGATGGAGCCTCTAATAGTAAAAAGTTCTACCCCATCAATTCACATTCCTTTCAGTCTTCTTTAAATTGAGGCTATTTCACCATGCAGTGAGAAATAACTACAAATAACTCCAAGGATAACACATAGAGCAGCAGCAGCAGCCAGCCTGGGATGATCTCCATGTTTAGAATTTTAGACTGTCATGAGCTACTCTTGAAGACGATCACCTAGCAACCTGGTACCTCTCCAAGCACATCCATACTAGGCACAATCACCAGATGAAAAGAAGCTCACCTGCTTTATTTTGTTCCGAGAGTTAGTGATGCGCTCAGTGATACTCTGGTAGGTGCGAATGGCTGTTGTCAGTTCTGTGTAGTGTTGCACTATAAGCTCATCCAGGTCACGGTCACACTTCTCATAGGCTTCCTCAAGGCGGCCCTTCTCATTTTCTCTGTCTTCCACATCATCACTAGTAGACAGAGTTCTGGTAAAGATAAGAAATATATCAACCAGAATGAAATTTGCAAAATATAGCATAAGGAACATATAATGTTTTGTGTCTAGATATCTCCCCAAAACCTCATGTGGTTGTAGTTTTGTCAAGATGGCTACTGATTCATGATGCAATGTTGGTATTAAGGGTGCAGGGATTAAGAGCAGGTGATTGCTGGATCAGTCCACTGATTAGTTTGGGACCATGCTAATCTCAAGAGACTGGATATAATAAAAGGCAGAGAAAGAAGCTTGTCTCTGTCTTCCCTTGTTGCTTTTGGTATCTATGAGTGCCATGAACTGTCTTCACTGTGATGGCCCTCTGCCAAGCCACCTTGCCTTGGAGTCAGCTGATAATGGACTCAAACCTCTACAAACTAGCTAAATATACCATTCCTCACTTTAACTTTGGGCATCAGGTATTTTGTCTCAGCAACAAGAAAAAAGTAAGACAAATGGCAACTCCATCAGTATGACAGCACATTCATCTTACTAGATAGGAAATAAAGTACTACATGTTACTAGCCAAAAATATAAAGTCACCGTAATGGTAAACTGCAGTAGCCCATTAAAATGGGTTTGTTGGTTACCTACCTTCATTTGTTTATTTGGCCTTAGAACTGATTTTAATCAGACAGCAGGTAGGTGTGAACTTTTTGAGGGGGTGAGCAGTTCTTGCCTGAGTAAATCATAGCAATTCCTAATTCAACTCTTTCTACCAGAAAAAAAGTTGCCAGTGAGCACTATGGACCTTCTAGGAATATTTTTCTTATAAAAAGAATAACAGGTACTGAGTGTGGTAGCACACACATGTAATCCCAGCACTTGGCAGGCTAAGGCAGGAGGACTGTTCCAAGTTCAAGGAAAATCTGACCTCCAAAGTGAGTTCAAAGCCACCCTGAACTATATACTGAAATCCTGTCTCCAAAAGACAAAAAAAAAAAAAGACAAGACAAGACAAGAAAAAGGCACCCTTTCTTAACTCTCAATATTTTTACACTAAGCTGAGATACTCAGGTACTTCAACCATCTTAGAACTATGGAAGGAAATGCCAACCTACCACTACCACAGGTACATCATTGGGGCCATTGAAGCAGCCAGGCCTGAAGCTGCCTTAACTCCAGACTTCCTATTATGGGAGATAATGAATATCCATTGTTTAAGTCACTTTCCATTGGTCTTCTTTTATATGTAGCTGAAAGAGTACTAATGATAAAATTACTCATATACTGAGGCACAGAGCTCATTTGAATGACCTGAATTTGATACAGAGCCCTAGTAGTCTGGAAATAAGGTCACGTTCATTGTAAAATCTGTTTTAACAGCATTAATCTAAGGTATAGTACAGGACAGTCCTACACTTACTATTCTTCAAACAGCACTAACAAGATTGATAGGAATCAACAATAACCACAGCATGAGATAGATACACTTATTAAAAATCTTTCAATAACTTAGTTTGATACATGGGCCACAGATCTTTGTTTCCTCTATTTTCTTTCTTGGATAATTTTTAATTTAGTATTATAATCAGTAACAAAGAAACCTCTTCCTCTTATCTGTTGGCTGTGGTAATTTAGAGTTTCATTAAATTCCCTCAGATTTGTCAGCTTATACATTCAGCCTAGTTTATTTCATTTATCTTTTTTTAATTTAGGGTGGGGGTTATTTTAGGCTCTCAATGACAGATGTAATCAATTACAAGTCCATCATTATAACTGCTTTCAGAGATGGTCTGTCAGCAAATCAATCATATACCTACTTCTAGATACCTACAAGCAAAATATGGCATGACAGACTTCTCCAAACTGTCATTCAGACCAAAGGATCTTAATTCATGAGCCACACAATATACAAAACATCTTTTTTAATTTAGAGGAAAATTCAGGAGGTCAGTCTTTGACTTCAGTATAACCTCCACATCATATGAAGTTAAAAGTAAGTGAAATATGATGAAGAAAAAAAGCAAAAATCACAAAGGCTAGTGTAGAATACTCAGAAAAGCAACATTACTGGGAACTAACTGAGCTGAAGGCTTTACCATACCAGATCGTTTCTTTACTTGGAAACTGGATCTTAAACCAGATACTTTTCTAGGTTATCTTTGGGCAAAGAATATCACACAAGCATCTGACTACTAAAGTAAATCAAAATGGAAAGTTAAGGAGGAATTTGTTTTCACAGATAAAGTTACAAAGATTACTTGCAATATTTAGGTACCAAGTACTTTAGCAGGTCTTCCCAATGTTTACATGATACATAACTTTGCTCTTTAAACGTGAAAGTATCCAGGCTATTAATCTAATGTAAAGCACAATCAGAAAATGCCTTCAGTTTATCAACTGTCCCAAAGGTAAGGGTTCCTGGAAATTTGACTATAACATTTTGCTTTGTAACTGAAAATACAATAGCCACAAGTTTTCAAAGCTACACTGTACCAGTCTGCCATCTTTATAATGCTGTTCATAATTTCCTCTCTCCACTACCATTTGTGGAAGGAAACACGCCAAACATTTCACATTGTTTACCTTAACTAGCTAGAATTACCATTAAGGAAAATGTCAGGCCCACTGAGGACACCTTCTCTGGCATCAGCTGTCACTGCAACACATTACTGGATCATTAGGAGTTACTTAGGAAATAGAAAGGTTACTAAAGAAGATTAGACTAAATTGAGTCTACAGAGGATTTTTGCTCCTATTATCATTTTTAAAGGAAATATTTGTATAAGAAATATCCTGAGTAAGGTTTGCCCCGCATGTGAAATTCATCCTCTTGATATAAACCAGTATTAATGACATTTTATGTTCAGTCAAAAATATATTATTGAACTTGGAGCGTATCAGGTCATTAAAGGTTTTTTTTTTTTTAATTAGAGAAAAGGAAGGCAGAAAGGATAATAAAAGTAGTAGTAACCCCTAATATTTAGAGAGGCTTACGAGCTACCAGAAAGCAGCTGTGTTGCACATTTTATAGAATGTGTGTGTAATCCCTTTGGTTCAGGTCCTGTTTTCTCCCCTCCCCCTCTGTAAGGGAGCAGCTGAGATCTGAAGAGGTTAAATTAATTTACCCTACCTCACACAATGAGGATACAGGATAGCACAGGGATTTAAAGCCCAGGTTGCTCTGTCTGCAGACCTAAATGACAATCCTGACTCTACCATATGTACTACCTTGGTAACAGAATCTCGTTTTGCTCACCTAAAACTAGAGATAATAGGATTACTAGTAAGTGTTAAGTAAAATTAACAAGTCTTGATCAAATGTTGGTTGTGTTTGTACAGACCAAGTCCCCACTATTCAAAATGCTTGAAACTGCAAGGATTTCAGATTTCAGTTTTTTTGAATATTTGCATATTCATGAGATATGTTATATAAGGGACCCAAGTCTAAACATGAAATTTTATACAATTTGTTGAAACTGTACTTCCGATTTGATTTGAAACTGTCTCATTGCTATCTGTTTATCAATAAAATTTTTAAAAAATAAAATAAAATGTATAATTCAAAAAAAAGAAAGAAATTTTATACATATACCTTATGTTTCATATACATTCTATACACATACACTAAAGATAATTTTATATACTAATTTAATAATGTACATGAAACAAAGTTTTATGGTATAGAACTTTCCATTTGTGATATGATGGCAACTCTCAAAAACTTTTGAGAATTTGGAGCATTTTAGGTTTCAAATGTTCAGATTAGGGATGCTCAACTTACAGCAAGAACAGCAGTAGCAACAGCACTTTTTCAATAGTAATATGAAAAGTAATCTTCTAGAAACAAAGTTATAAATCTCACCACTCCCAAATTCTAGATCACTTAGCCTTGGGCATGGGATTTAAACTCTCTGATTCCTACATTACTCTTATGTTAGCCTGCCCACATCACATGAGTGCTGACAGAAGAAATAAAAATTACGAGTCAGAGACTAAGGACTTTATTACTCACAGCACAGCAAGCAGCATGAGCATCAGTGTATCTGTATCAATTCCCCTTCTCCCAAAATCCTATGCAGGTTAGATAGGTCCAGATGCATACCTATCACATCTAAGTTAACAAAGACGAATCCTGAACAACCAAATGCTCTTTTATGCAGAGGGACAGACTTACTTTCCAAGGCTCTTTGCTAGGCAAACAACCTTGACAACACATGAAGGGTGCTTAGTGCTTTCACTCACAAGATCTTCAGAAATATATCGGACTGAAAGAAAAGCATCTCCCAACAACAAAGCAAACTAACCCACTGTATTCCTTCTTGAACTGAATGACTGCATGATGCCAAGCAATAGTGGGAAGTAAAGATTCATTTTCATTTTGTTTTCTGAGAAATGAATCCTGAAACATAACAACTCAGACAATAAATATTTACAAAAGGAATTAATGAAGAAACATTAACACATGAAAGAGCAGACAATTCTACAGAGTTTTTGGGCATACTAGCAAAATCCAGCAAACTGCAGTATGAGATGATCTTAATTTAAGACTGTCACTTGACCTGAACTGGGAGCAATATATAAAAAACCTTGTCTTCTAGCTCACTCTACCTAAGCCAGGTCAGGAACCTCTCTTCAGCCACCTCAGGCTCTTTAACATGCAAAACTGACTAGCTCACAGAGCAATTCACTGCAATTCTGAACAGTTCTACTTGTTATAAAGCTTTCCATTAAAATAGCCCCTTTATAATTTTTATTATTGATTCTCGTTCTTTTTCAGTAACACAAAATAAGTCTATTAGATCTTCTGTAATATATCCCTTTCAGTAGTAGAAGGTTCTCACTAAATAGCTTTCTTTTACAATGAAAACACTTCCAGTTTCTTCAACTGTTTCTTCAACACTGTGGCTTTCAAGCAATCCATCATTCTTGTTGCTCTCCTCTTTGAAGTTCCCTCAAAGAAAGACTAACACATGAAACTTAACTGTGGTCCAGGCATTGAATTAATGATCTTGTTTTGCCTGTCTTGTTTTTGATTTTGGTGGTACT